TTTCTTTCTTTCTTTCTTTCTTTCTTTCTTTCTTTCTTTCTTTCTTTCTTTCTTTCTTTTTTCTTCTTCTTCTTCTTTCTTTCTTTTTTAACCTTCCCTTCCAGTTTCCAATGTTTCCAATGAAAACATTGAACTAGAAATGAGAGGGGGAAAACTTCCAGTTAAACTCTCCTGATGCATGCTGAGATGACTTTCGCCACCTTAGAGTGAGTCTGCACTTGCAAGTCTGCTTGTGTTTGCAGCATTGCAATTGTGCTGCTAAAAAGAAAAAAGGGGAATTCATTTTATAGTCCTGGAAACCACTTTAAACAACATTTAAAATTTATGCACACAGTAGGCTTCTTTCTCCCAACTTTGAAACACATTGTTTAAACTTCTAAGACTTACAATAAGGGAAATAATTTCAATAAACTTAAATATTCTAGTAATTCTTGGGATATTTGCAGAAGCTGAGAACTCTGGCATACTTTCAAGAGGACCCTCTAATAGGACTGCATCCCTGTGGGTGCTTCCCCACACCATGGGTGTAATAAATGATCATATCAACTGAACAGAAATTGAATTTAGGCTGCTGGTGGGTGCAGTGACAATTATTTTCCTATGACTCTCCTGATAGGAACCCAAGTTTCTGAACTTTTACATTTGGGAGGTGAAACAAATATTTTGTAAAAATTCAGCTCCTACTTTAAGTAAATTTGACAAGGGATTCTCAGATAATGGTGCACTTGCAATACTTGGTTCTTACCTATATTACAACTTAGTAATATACAACTAAAATTAGTTCTATATTTATTAGGTAGTAAACCCCTTGAAAGAAGAGGCCACATCAAATTATCCTCATATTTCCAGCACCTAGCAAAGTGCCCTTTGAGGAGTGTTTTGTTTTTATCTTGTTTTTTTTTTTTTTAATGAATAATCATGGGAAAAGGGTTGGCCAGTCATTTCCAAGTGATTGAGTATAGATGTAAAAGGACAATGACTGTCCTATTAGGAACCTGAGTTTTTGAGCTCTTACTTTTGGAAGGTGAAACAAATATTTTGTAGAAATTTCCTGCTTTGATAAATTGACCACCAACTTTAAACAAAATAAATTATAGCTAATCATTAGGCCCTTAAGTTTTTCTCTTATGTGAAAGCATGCTATGAATTTTTCAGTTAGGTTGCTTGGTATTGACCACTTCTTACACTGATGTCACATATATGCCCACGCCCAGGATTTCCATTAATCTGGTTGAAATGATCACATGCAGCTTTGGCAAAAATAGATTGTGTTGGATTATGTTCTTCAGCAGTCAGTCAGGAGGAGGAAGACTACTCTAAAAGGGAGAAAGTTGCATAAACCAAAACTTCAACAAGTGGAGAGATAAACTAAGATCTACTTTGTACTGGAGATAAACTGGTTTTATTTTCTAACTGGGTCCTTAACTTCAAGATTAGAAGTGACCCCTTGATCTCTATTATGGCTGGATTTGCATTTCCTGTCCCTCTTACATTCTCATTTGTAATCCTTATTAATTAAGGAGATGGCATTGACTAAATTCTTAAGTCAAATTTAGAGATTTTATTAGGATAAAAAGTTACTTTGATTTGTTTTACTTTGTTTAGTATTCAGTAAGGGTGAGTGAATCAAGAAAGCTTTCTTTTTCCTGGGAATAACCTCCAGTAGGGTTTCCACTGGGTGTTCAAGAAAAGAAAACAAATGTTTGGTTAGATTTTGGGGATGTACAAGCAGTGGGAATTATAAGTATTTGGTATACATGTGACAGTATACTAGAATTCAGCATTTTCATGGTTTTAGGTAAAATCATAAGTTTGTAAATGTTTCTAGTCTGTGTTGTCATTCACCATTTCCATGTGACCTAACTTCAGGTTTGGACTTTTTCTTTCTTCCTCTTCTTTAGCCACTCTTGTCATTTCTGTGTCTTGCGCCATAGCACAAGTGAGTGTTAGGAGCCATCTTGGGGTCAGAGGATGGTTTCTGGTTGCTGGGAAGTTGCTGGGCAGCTAGGGGACTGTTTTCTAGCTGTGATTTTTTGCATGAGTACAGCAGGAATCATTTCCATGTGCTCAGTGGAAATGGAAAAGTGTATTTTATGAGGAATAGGATGCAGTGGAATTTGGTCAGTTGAAAAGGGTGTAATCAGGGGTATGTGAGTCCAGCCTTTCAGAATTCTGAAACATCTTTAAGTCAGGAGTTCCTGGAGGTATGTGGAATTGATCAGACCTTCCTTAGTCTGCATGCTATTTTGTTTTTTCACTTATATTCAGACCTCCTGAAAGAACATAGTGGATGAGTAGTAGAAGGAAATTAGGTGTAGAGGGTAAAGAAATCAGGATGAGATCATATTCTTTACATGCATTTGAAAAAAAGGACATATGTCTGTTCTTTTCTGGATCTGTTGATGTTAATGAATGGTCCTTTAGGTCTCAGGAGTTAGGCCTAAGAAGTTAGAAATAGTAGCTGACTTGAACTTGAAAGAAGGAAGAAACGCTTTTAATATTAAAATCCCTATTAAAATTCTTCATGGCAAAATTTGAGATCACTTTCAGTAAGAGCCTTTTCAATTGCTTGTACCTGATTCCTCAAGCATGCAGGGAATCCTTCATTCTTCCCATCCAAGTTTATGTACAGACACAGCTTTTCAGTGCGCTAAGTCCTCGCTGTAGTGTAATGGTGCAAATGTGCTCTTGGATTAAGTCCATAATCATGAATCCCTCCCTCGTTGCTCTCCCACAACCCTCTGCACCCTTTCTTCCCCCAGCCTGGTATCTTGAACTGAAGTTACTAGTTTGACTTTCCTTGAACCAGAGAAATGAACTCATAGAATGATTTTAAGGTTGAGTAATTATGTCTCCAGGTGTTTGACATTTAAACCTTGAAGCTGAAACAGGAGTCTGGTCTCTCTGTATCCACTTATGATGAATGTCCTTGAAATATTCCACTTAAATCCTCAGCTGTAGTCAGTTTGCACTTCAACTGTGGACATCATTAGGAAATGGAAAAAAGGTGTCTTTCTTCATTAATAATTGGGAGGGCAGCCAGTCCTGGAAGCAAAAACTTTCTTTTGAGTTGGTATGGTCTGACTCCCTGCCCTGCCCCCAACCCCACCCCACCCCTGCCCCACTCCTCTCTAGGTCAGAGTAGAAACTGGTGAGCCCAGCAATGGTGACTTTCTTTGTTAAGTTGTCCATATGTTGACTGATATTTGGCAACCAAATGTTTTAAAACATTTATATACTGTTAGAGTAAATGTTAATAGGAGCAGCCCTGTGTGAAGCTTCTTAGCATTCCAAAGGGGTAAAACAAATCTCCTTGACTCTTGGACTACAAATGTCATCACACTAATGGACAGTTCTATCAATTGCAGGAAATGATCTAAATAATTTTTGAGCAAGATTGAAACAAATATTATAATAGTTACAAGGCTGATTCTAAGGGGCGGTCATTTCCTTTATTTCTGAAAGCCTCCAGAA